CTTTACATTCTAAGTTTTTATGTGGCTAAGCAATCAGGAAGGAGTTGTCAGCTTCACAGGTGTTTATGCTAACGCCTAGCATAAATGTAACATTTTGAGGCCTCAGAAAATTTAATATCATAAAAGCCTAAGTCTGTCTGTCTGTAACACTTTATTTGCACCCTGGCTCACGGAAACAGCCAATCGGAGTGCTCCAAGCGTGGGGGGGGAGCACCACCATGATTTCAAAGCTGCACTGAGGACTGGACAGAGTGGTGGAGCTGAGGCTAGCAGCACTGGCCTCGGCTTCCCCACCCTGCTCCCTGCAAGAAGCAGAATAGCATTCTTCTCCCTGCACAAGGGAGCATTTGGGCTCCCAAACACAAACAGATGCCTCAGCATTCATATTTTGTTTCTTAACTTGGGATGTGGTCCAGAAGTCTGTCAGTGATTGCATAGGAGGTTTTAACTGTTACATTTATACACATACAAGGAAAGAAAGCACATCGGGCAGGGGCTTTCACATCTTGCAGCCAGCTGGGGCTTATTGTCAAAAGGACAGAAAGCTCCTTTGCAGAACGTGCTGTCCCTAGGACAGATTTCTGCAATGATGGTTGGCTTCATTTCAAGACTACTTTTGAAATGGGTTCTATTTATTCTAAGGGGGGGTGACTGACTCCAAGGCTAACTAAGATAGAGAGTTTCCTGGGATTCACCACTTCCCCCACACTTGCTTCCATGGAAGCCAGCTGCATGAGAAACTATATGGGAAGGACCTTTGCTTCTCCTGTTGTACACTCTTTTAAACCAGGGACTAGGTTAGGGTAGAAGGAACACTGACCTTTATGTTGGAGCTGTGTCTTTAGCCACCAGATGTTTCTGGTAAAATGGTCAATGGTGAACTACTGTTTTGGCATTTAAAAACTGCCATCACTAGGTTTCTTCATTTCTGCTGCTTTTAAATAGGAATGCATAATCGGAAATAGTGGGTAATTCAAAACTCTAAGATGTTTTGAAACTACAGATAAACAACAGTATTGAATTCACTTTCACTGAAGAGGATCAGCAGAGAAGCTAATTTAAACTTCTGCTCAAACTGAAGTGGAGTATTGTATAGCCTGTAGCAAATGTGAACAGGTACCATAGGGTTGCAGCTCAAGGAAATCAGTCTTACTCCAAGATTGCATATAAATCTAACAGAACTATCGCAAGTTCTCTTCATGTTTTAAAAACAGTGCCAAGACTTGAAGAGTATGGGTGACATCCAATATTCCTACACTCATGGCCTTCCTGAATAGTTAAGAGGTGCCTTGTAGTCCAAAGCTACCTGTCTAGAGAGAAGAAAAATCTTTGTACCCCTTGACTAGTCCACATACCTGGAAAAGCTTCTGTGAGCAGAGAAATGGCTTCCATTGTAGTGCTTCTCTTGGCTCTTCGTATACAAGAACAGAACAGTATCATTTTGTACATCTGATGTCAGCCCTCATGCACTGTGAGCTGTGGAAGAGTTTTGCCAGGGGCTCCGCAATGACTTTGGCCAGCTCCTTCAGCACTCTCGGATGAAGATCATCCAGCCCCGCTGACTTGTATATGTCTATTTTTTTTTTTTTAATTGGTCATACCCCAATAATACGGTAATAGTAGGAAGGTGATTATTCTGACCATGCTCATCCTCTGCTCCACCTGGTGTGGTTTACCCCTTGGTCCAGTGAAAGACTGAAGCAAAGTAGTCATTCAGGAGTTCATCTTTCTCCTGGGTGCCAGGAAAGAGCTCTCCAGAGTTGCTGAGCAATGGCCCCACACTCCCATTTGTTTTCCTCCTGTTCCCTATCTACCTAAAGAAGGACTTCTTGCCCTTGATTCCCGTTGCTTATCTACATTTGGTTGCCACTTTAGCCCAGCTTATCTGTTCCCTTCAAATGTGAGCCATTGTGGAATAGTCCTCCTTGGGGCCTGCCCCGAGCTGCCATTGTTTATAAGCCTCTTTCTTCTTCCTTAAGAGGACCGTGATTTCCCTGTTTAGCCAAGAGGGCTTCCCAGCCCTTCTGTTACCTTTTCTCTGCATGGGAATGAATTTCTTTTGTGCTTCAAAACATGAGGTAGTGTGTCGGGATCATTTTTTCTCACAAGCTGAAAGGTGCCACGCAGGGAGCATGTACGGAGCACGTGACCCGTGGCCATGTGCTGCAGATGGCACACACTGCCTGCACCTCCCTGCCGGCTCCCCACACACCACCGTGAAGCGGCACACCATGCCACCCCCCCCTGCTGGGAGCATTTGCCAGCTGTGGGTGGTGAGGCACACAGAGGGGGGTGGGCAGGGTGTGCAACTGCAGAGTGTCGCTGGGGAAGGAATATGCGATGTGCGGGGAGCACCCGTGTCCTGTAGCACGTGGGGCAGGGCACACCCCCCACTCCTGCTCCCCATGCAGCACCCTGCGGCCAAGTGCCCTGCTTCTCCCATGTTTTGGTGCTCCTGGTGGGGCGGGGCACGCAGGCAGGGGTGTGGCCACAGGGTGTCGCACAGGGGATGCACCATCCGGGGGGTGCTGCCCGCGCCCCCTGCCCACTCCCCTCACGGCACACTTAGGGCTGTGCGCCACGCTCCCCCTCCCCGTACGGTCTGCGCCATACCCACCCCCATGGTCACAAGCCACGCCCCCCAGGACACAAGCCACATCCCTGCACAGCTGGTCCCTGCAGGGGGGAGCACAGCCTGGCCTGGCCTCCACCTGTCCATCTGTCTGTCCTAAGTTTCCATGCCACGCATGTGCAGTTGGCCTGGACCATTATGGACAGACAGACAGAAGTGCTAAGGCCTTTAATAGATTAGAATTAATTAGAATGTCATATATATAGATATATATAGATATATATATGAAATTCTAATTTTATATATATATATATATAAAATAGATATATTGATTTGCTAGCTGATCTAATAAAAGGTATCATCTCTGAACCAAGAGTGTTTATATCAGACCAACACAGCTGCCAAATACATCCCTGCTGTCGCCACCGAGAGCCGCGGCGCGGGGTTCGGGGTCTTAGGAGCCCTAATCGGCGGTCGGGTACTTGTGACGCTTGGAGTGGAATCAGGTGCTCAAGCGTTTGGATTGAACAAAAGATTGTTTACTTACACTGCTCGTACAGTGCAGGTCAGAGGCTTACTTCGATTACAGTTTTAAAACTTGGGTCGGGCAGAAATTACAAAGTTGGTTTGGTCGGTCTGCAAATGTGTCGGGGTGTTCGGGGTATTCGGGCCGGCAGTCGTCTTACGTCTCGGGTGGGGGGGTGCTAGGCCCCCTTGGGTCGGGGACGGGGAGTCCTTAGTGGTTGATCAGGCCGCTAAGTTCGCTGTGAAACACGTGTGGAGTTTGCTAGACTCCACAGTGTACTCAGAGTTCTCCACGAGGTGTGTGTGGAGCTCTCCAACTTGGGCAGAAACTGCTCAAGCTTTTTATAGG